TGGTTACTTCAAGAGGGATTATACATTTGGATTGAAAATCTCCGCAGCAGACAAAAGACGGGAAGGGCTAGACAAAAAGTGAAAAGGCAGTCTAGACACCACCCAGCCATAGTCTAGACAGAGTCTAGACAAAAGCCAGATAGCGAATAAGAGGTAAAAAAGCTGTCGAGACACTGCGATAAAGAGGAAAAGAACGGAAACACAAAGGTATACAGATTTGTTAAATAGTTAGTCAAAACGCTTTTATCGCCAGTTGTTGCAGACAAAAAATGAAAAGTCTAGACCCTAGACAAAGTCTGTAGCAGACGTCTATGCAACGCATATAAAGCAAAAAAAGAGAACAGAGCGCAACCAAAACCATAGTTGAGACGACGGCAAAGACGCAGACGAGACAGTAGTTTCTAAAAGTGGAACGCAGACGGATGGAAACGGAAGAATGATTAATATGCTAGACAGTAGACGTCAGACATTGGCGTCGCAATTTTTGGTCTGGTTCTCCATCTAGTGTCTATGTCTTTCAGAGTTTCTCTGCCGCGGATCTTCTTCTACGCGAAAAAGGTAAGATATTGCAGAGTTGACTAGGCTAGACTAAAAAACAAATCTAAATAGCATACCTAATTGTAGGGAAAAAGAGTGAGTAAATACATTTAAATTCAAACCCTTAAAAACGGCCAGACATAAGAGAGAACACAAGAAGAGATTACACAAACTAACGAGAGGAAAAACGAGAGAGTAGGCATACAACCAAACTAAAGAAAACGATCAGACAACCAGCCTGCAAACACAAGAACACAGTAAAACATAAAGACACCAAGACACATTATAAGAGCAACCAGACTTATATAACAAAGACAACCAGACTTTTTAAAAGACCCGCCAGACGCACTTGAGTCTAGACTTTGTCTAGACACCAGTCTAGACTTTCGCAAAAAGTCTAGTCGGTGGATAAAAGGTTAGAGAAAAGGGAAATACTATACAGGATGTGTGGACATTCGAAATAGGCTGCAAAGAGTAGAGGGAGATGGAAAACGGATTGGAAATAGAACATTTTTTGGAGAGGAAAATTGAAAATAGTACTGACTATGGAGACACCCATTAGAAAATAGCACATCGTGCGGAGAGAAACATTGAAGTTAGTATTCAAATATGAGAGACAACTCAAAAATAGTACTCAATTTGAAGAGAGACAAATAAAAATACCGCTAAATTCGCACCGCCGTACGGAGGGTCACACAACAGAAATTGGTACGGTGGACCGTTCGCAGCGTACGTCGCAGCGTTATTGCCCGGTCAGTCGTGCTTTGGAACATGGGTCCAGGAGTCGCGGACGGACCCGCGACGAGCCCTTCAGGGAGCGGAAATTGGCGGGCGAAACGAGAGCTCGAAACAATGCGTGTGGCATCGAAAATCGCGCACTTTTCGGTCAGAGTGTGGCGAAATAGCGTGTGGCAGACAGTGGGCTGCGAGAGACATGGTAGGCGCCGGGTCGTGTGCAATGAAAAGACGCGAGACATCGTATTTATGTTCTTCTTGTTTCGGTTTGTGGAAGTGAAGGGAAAACGCGTGCTTGGACTGATTAATGCAGTCGTAAAACAACACCCAATTTGATGGAATTTTAATGTGACATTTAAAGCAAATTTTGAGTTTTAACGACATCGAATATGATGAGTTTAAATAAAATTGAGTCTGACAAAAAAGCAATAAAGTAGGTATAAACTAATAAACTTTGGCACTACTTTTAAGTAAATATAACCCCAATTTGTACAGTAATATTTTTTTTAAATAAAAAAAGGTAAGTTAAATTCTTTAGTTGATTATTTTGATGCTATATGTTGTAACAGCACGTACTACGCATGCGCAAGGATGTTCAAGGTTCAGATAAAGTTAAAGAGGGCTATCCATGTGTTTGACGTTTCCTATAGTTCTTCCCAGGCAAATTGGGTTGTTCAAATAATTCTGTGCTCCCTAATCACACAAATTTGCTTTGGGAGCAGAATTATTTGGAAGACTTGATATTTTACTGTTTCTCGCGTCACCGAGTTGATGGGTTTTAATATTTTTTAATTGTATTGTACCATCAACTTGTGAAGGCCTTTTACAAATACGGAAAGTGAATCTCATAATATGATGTAAAAGTCTTTTACAGACACAGAAAGTGAATCTCATAATACGATGTAAAGTATGAGTAATGACATAATTTGAGGCCGCGCTGCGTTTTCCTGAACCGCCAAAGGAAATCGGTCAGGCGAACGGTCCAGGCCACTTGTTTGAAGAATGTCCAGCGGCGCGGTTCCGATTTTATAAATCCGCAATATTGCTAATAAATTGCGGTTTTGAAAATTTCGAGGTCTTTAAGCTTATTTTCTTTAGAATTTAGGCTTCAAATGCATTGGAACTTCTGTACAACGAATCGCTTGGGGGTTGAAAAGGTTTTGGGTACGTTTTAAGGTAAAATACGGTACCTGTAACTGTCTATTCTTTTACCTGTCGTTTGTTCGGGATGTTTTCAGACCAATTTAAAAAAAACCGTTTTTGTACGAATCGACCGGAAATGCAAAGTTAGCGGGTGGTAGTAATTGCTCTTCCTGCAATTATGTCCACTTGTGTGTTGTTCTGTTGCATAATATTTGAGGTTTATCGTGTTATGCAAACAAACAACATGCAATTTTCACACCGATTTCGAACGGATTATTCGGATTAGCGGGAGATACGATCTTCTTATTGTAATTGTTTGCTTGGGTTCGTATTTACAAAGAACCAGAGTATGATTGTTCTTAGGTGTAGTCTTAAGTTTAGGCTTAGTTTTTCCACTTGATAGGGTAGAGTAAAGTATAGGGTATAGTGTAGTTTTTCCACTTGATAGGGTAGAGTATAGTAGGGTAAAATAACAGTAGTTTAAACTAATTTTAGGCTCAACAGGGTATTAAGCAAAAAATTTTAAATTGGTGTTGACAGGTTTCGAATCAAAAATTCCCAGTCATTTGCGATTCAAAAGCCGGGAAACATAATAATTGTGTATACAATCGTCCAAACCGTTCATTTCCGTTTAGATCGCGCGTTAAAAGGTGACAGCCAATTTAAATGCGGAAACGGTCAACAACTGCATTGGGAATTGGCTTTTGAAAAAATTGTATAAAATACGCTTTGGCCAATACTTTTGGCTTTTAAAATGGTCAGGTAGGGTAGGGTAGAGTGTAATAAGGATTGAAAATGGAACGGCTAGGATACGGCAAGACTTGGTACGGCGGATGTAGGGCAAGCCTAGAGTAGTAAGTGGCATAGGTGAGTTAGGGGCAAGATAGGATAAAGTATGGGAAGGTTAGGGTACGGGAACCGTAAGGTATGGCAGAAGTAGGGTAGGGTAGGGCTAATTAATAATCATCAAAAATGAAAAAGTTTATGAAATTTTGAAGCCGTTTTGAACAGATGGGACACTTGACATGGCCAATCTCATTAACCTTGATGTTGTTTACGGCTCAATCGTAAGGACTTGCGGAATTAATTGAGGTCAACAATTACACTTTTGTAAGGCTTTATAACTCTAATTTTTCGTAGTGTAGTAACTTGGATCTTATTTTGTAGGCTTAATTTTTTATTAATTGAAAGTTAAATTTTAGGCTTAAAATTTTTTTGTCTTAAAATTTGACATGTAGGCTTAAATTAGCTTTTAGGCTTAAAATTTGATTTTTATGTTAACTTTTTAATTTCTAGGTTTAAAATTGTAACGTTTAGGCTTAAGTTAGATATTTGGGCTTAAAATTTGGTTTTTATGCTTAAACTTTACCTTTATGCTTAAGCTCTGTTTTTAGGCTTAAAATCGGTTTTTAGGCTTACAATTAGTTACTATCGCTTAAATTTGACTTCTGTGCCTGAAATCTGCTTCATAGCCTTACGTTAGATTTTAGGCTTAAAGTTCCTTTTTAAGGCTGAAACTCTGCTTTTTAGGCTTAAATTTGGCATTTAGGCTTTAACTCTGATCTTTAGGCTTAGACCCCCCCCCCACCACGAAGATCTATCAAAGAAGGATCAAAAGCCGAGTCCGAAGACTTTTGAAGTCGTCCGCAAATCCAAACAAAATTTTTTTTGAATTTCATTTTTTGGACTAATCGGCATTATTTATAAACTGTCACTTTTGTCACTAAGCGCAACAGATTTCAGCAGATCGAGGCAGCCGGCTGGCTTTTAATTTCGAATTTTAATGTTTTAAAAATTCGATTTTTGGCGAGGTTTTTATGATTTATAAATGGCAAGAACTTTCTTTACAAAACAAGAAATGGCAAAAACTTTCTTTCCAAAGCAAAAAAATAACAAAATTAAATTTTTTTTGAAATTAAATGTTATGAATAACATAATGCGGTAAGATAAATGAATCTTGACCTTTTAAATCTAAAAATTGATTGTTTTTTCATTAAAGATTACCTTTTCTTCCTCTAATTCAAACACTTTTGTTTGTTCTTATCCTAATCCTAACAAAATTTGTATAATCAAGGTCGTAAATTGTTTTTGGTGGTAATGGGAGAATTACAGTAGCTATTATAACTTTTGTATGTTTACTAGTTAGAGTAAGTAGGCAGTGTAGGAGAGGGTATGGTAACGTGGAGCTAGGTAAAGTAGGGTAGGGTAGGGTAGGGTAGGGTAAAGTAGGGTAGGGTAGGGTAAAGTAGGGTAGGGTAAAGTAGGGTAGGGTAAGATAGGGTAAGGATACGGCAAGAGGAAGATAAAAAAGAAAGCTTATTACACAAGAAGAAAAATTTGTGCGGTGTTACCTAATCTTATGATATAACTAGATAGCCTTAGAGAAATTGCAAGAAATGGTGTTACGCAACTTTTTCTTATGTAATATTATGGGTTTATATGATATTTGCCTCGATGTAAAACGACCCAACAAATGACTGCGAGTGCTGGGATCTGGCTCTATTTTACTGCGCGGTTTTAGGATTTTACTCCGTGTTTCTTTGAGCAATCGTTTTTATGTGTCAGAACGGCATACAGTTTACAGTTTATCGTTCATCTTGTGCTGTCAACATCTTCCAAGCACAGTTCCACTTCTTCTCAGTCGCTACAAGACTGGCGCTCTTGAGACCCGTCCTTCTTCTGATCTCAGCACTTCTTTTATCTCTCCATGTTATTCCCAACATCATTCTTTCCATCTGTCTGACCGTTCTAATCAGCTTCCATCTGGCTTTCACTGTGAGACTCCAGAACTCGGCTCCATAAGTTATTGTAGGTAACAGGCAAGTCATGTAGAACTTCCGCTTGAATAAAATATATAGCGTAAGCTTAAACATAAGAATTAAGATTAAGCCTTATTTTATTTAAGCCTACATCTAAGCCTAAGCTTAAGGTTGGCCGAGGTTTAAAATTATGCTTAAAGCTAAAGTTTCAATCGAATTTATGGCTCAAACTTAGCCGCAGGCTTACAATCAGGCTTAAGCTAAACCGAAGGCAACAAGCTATAGCCCAAGCCCAAGCTTAAGCCTAAGATCAAGCTTATGAACCTTAACTTGAAAAACTTGTTATTTGTGACTCATTTGTCAGAACAAAAACAGTTGTTGCTAATTTCATTGTCATTACCTTAATTACCCTTTGATCTGTTTTTAACTGTTATAGCCTTAATTTGTCAATTCGAAAATTTTTTTACGACTTTACAGGCCAAAAAACTCGTCAAAACCTTCATTTTTTCTTGTTTTTAGCCAAATTTTCCGTTTTCTTCTTCAGTTTTGAGTTCTGAAATTTGAAGCCGGCCTTTCTTTTTGCCACAATTGGAAGTAACAACAACGAAATTTCGAAAAATTTTAAAAAATGAGGGTTTGAATAAAGCAGGTAGGGCTAAGGCTAATGTTAGGATAAGGATTCGAACTGGTTCTGGGGCTAGAGCTGGGGCTAGAGCTTGGGCTAGGGCTGGGATTGGAGGTAAAGCTAGGGCTCAGCTGGAGCAGGAGCTGAAGCTGGGCATTTTAAGCAAAACAGAGTTCTAGGCGGGGTAAAATTTTTGTGCTATCTTATTTTCGGACAGTGTGAACGTTTTGGGTAGGGTAAAATTTTTGGCCAATAAAATTTTACGGCGGGGGTAAAATTTTTGGGCAGGGTAAAATGTTTGGGCAGAATAAAATTTTTGAGCAGGGTAAAGTTTTTGGTCAGGGTAAAATTTTTAGGCGGGGTATAATTTTTGGGCAGGGTAAAATTTTTGTCAGGGTAATAATTTTTAAGGTTTTTTAAATTGTGGGTAGGGTAACGTCTTAAAAGTGGACAAATTATATATTTGGGATAAGGCTAGTGCTATTTGGAAAGCTTTTACATTGTTGTAGTAAGTTGTTTTTTCTGGCCCAAAAAACTTTCCTGGAACGTTTTTTTTTTGGTTTTTTGAAGAAGTGCCATTAATTAAATTCTCACTTTTCTTCACAACGACCTTGGCCTTTAAGTGCGGCCAAATCCTTTTGTTCTTTACTTTCGGCTAGCAAATCTAATTGTACTACTAATAATTTTTTGGGGTTGTATTTTTTTTAAATGTTTTTTATGAAGCGCTGAAAGGATGAGGGAAGGGGGGGAATATTTTTCACAGTATTTTTTCTGAAAATTTTATAAAATTATTTATTTTTGTAAAATACGTTCGTCCTAGTATGGAATGCAAAATAAAAATTTTTTACGATCATCATCATAAGCCTACTAAGCCTAAGCCTACTAAGCCTAATCCTACTAAGCCTAAGCTTACTAAGCCTAATCCTACTAAGCCTAAGCCTACTAAGCCTTAGCCTACTAAGCCTAAGCTTACTAAGCCTAAGCCTACTAAGCCTAAGTCTACTAAGCCTAAGCCTACTAAGCCTAAGCCTACTAACCTCAAGCATACGCTTTTTGTTTAAAAAATGTGTTAAATTTGATTTTTTAAATATATAAAGCATGAAAAGCCTTTACTAATACTTTTTTTGTTACTTAAAAACCGGAAACGATTCCGTCAAATATTAAAAAATCATGCGCATTATTCAAAAGACCGAATTGGAAAAATATTCAAATTAGGTAAGGTTAGGAATTTAAAATGCTGGTTCAAACCGTAATTTTCTTAGCCCTAGCCCAAAGCCTTAGCCCAGAGCCCTATCCCAGAGACCAGAGCCTTTAGTGTCTAGTCTTAGCTCTAGTCTTAGCCTTAGCTCTAGCTTTAGTTTTAATCCTTTTAGGTTTTGCCTTTTGTTCTTTAGGTTTATCTCTAGCTTTCTATTAATAGCTCCTTAGGCTTAGTCTTAGTCTTAGTCTTTTTGTTTTTATTTTTTAACCTTAGCGGCGATCTCGTCTTAGCTCTAGCCCTAGCTTGAGTTGCAGCTTTAGTTTAAGCCATGGTTCTACCTTTAGCTTTAGGCTTAAAAATATTTTACAAATAGACCAATAAACCATTTTTTCGAATAAAAAACTAATGTTATTGGACGCTCGTCGCTTACAATAACATTATTGTTACAAAAGACCAGCGAAACGAGCCGAAACATAATTAGCGAACATAAGTAGGTTATGCGATACGGTTTATTGTGTTGTGTTTGGGTCGGTAGATCATATATTGGTTGTTTTTGACGGGCGGTTTTTTTAAAATGACTTTTTTCTAAAATACGATTTTTTTTTAAAAGACGTTCTTTTTTGCCAAAATGTTTTAATGACAAGTCGTAACAAGGTTAAGAGACCCCTCTCCCTTAACAAACACGATTACAACCGGTCGGACTTCACAAAGCGCGCCATCGGTATCGGGCTTTAATCAGAGGTTAAGCGCGTGTCACTTAATTGATGACAGCTGGTTCCGGTGATGACCTTTTATGAAGCGGCAAAAAAGTTTTTGCCATCCATCTTCAGATAGCCTCTAATCAGTGATGAATGGGGCAATATTTTTGTAAAGGTGATGATTTATAGGCGATTGGGGGGATTATCTGATACTACCGCTTATTCATTAATGGCTGGGTTCGTCGAGTTTTTGGTTTTGGTGATAAGTTTTGTTAGGATTATTCTAGACTTAGTAGGCTTAGGCTTAGGCTTAGTAGGCTTAGGCTTAGTAGGCTTAGGTTTTGTAGGCTTAGGCCTAGTAGGCTTAAGCTTAGTAGGCTTAGGTTTAATAGGCTTAGGCTTAGTAGGCCTAGGCTTAGTAGGCTTAGGCCTAGTAGGCTTAAGCTTAGTAGGCTTAGGCTTAATAGGCTTAGGCTTAATAGGCTTAGGCTTAGTAGGCTTAGGTCTAGTAGGCTTAGGCGTAGTCCACTTAGGATTAGGCTTAATTGTGGGCTTAATGTCGTTTCTATCATTACATAATACCTTAAAAAAGTCATGACAAGTCGTTGATGACATGTAAATCGACTGAAAACAATCGCGCACCTGTTTCGAAACGCCCAATGAGGCATAAAATACGCAAAAAATTATTGCATATTTAATTCGGTTCCGGTATTTTTAAGGATTATTAGCTACAGCTGGCAAACCTAGTCAAATTTTAAGTCAATGTTAGACCTGAAAAAGAGCTTACTATACTTGTCAAAACTGAATTTTTCATTTTTTTTGCCATTTTTGATTAGAGCATGCTTAAACTTCATTTTTAGCTCTATATTTAGAAGCCTTATTTTCTCCTAAAAATTCCCCCATTTGTCACTATAAATCTTATCTTACCTTTACCATTTATTTCCTAAGTACTTACAAGATATATGAGTTTCAGTAAATATACCAGTCTCAGTAGATTTTCAAAAACCACCATGTCGCCGTAAATCAGTGCAAATTGGCGGTTTGTCCGCATAAAATACGACACTTTGTTCTTTATCGGCTTAAGTAATTGCCAGGTTGTCGTCGGGTGTCTTGTCGCGCTTCTCACATGTTTTTTATTGTCGCGAATGGTCTTTGTAGTTTTTTAGATATCCTGGGCTTAATTTTGATTCGGGTATAGGTTTTTTAAATTTTGATTTTTAAGGTCATACTGTATTTTTTGTCGCGACGCTAGTCTTAAAGGTCTTACTTCAAAACGCGATGGATATATCGTTCAACTCTCTGGTTAACTTTAATGCTTTTATAGATTTTTTTTAAATTTTGATTTATAAGTTTTTAATACTGCTTTCTTTTCAGGAGAACTTTATTGGTTGCACGGTGTTTTTTGGGTCTATGACATATTATACTTACCACAAATATGTGGAACGTTATATGTACTTATCACAATCATTGTATTCCTGGCGTTCTATGCTCACAAAAATAACTTTCTTTACAATTCTAAGATCATTGGATTCATGATATTCTACTTTCATATACCTGTAATAAGCTGGGCCAAATTTTTCGGCACTGGAACGGTTTCCTTCTGTTCGACACCATCAAATTCTTTAAAATTTGTCTTTCCTAGCTTAAACAGCCCTCTTGTTCTCACCCCTCCGATGACATATGACATGCCATTCATTGTCCTGGATGTCGTAACAGGTTGTTGTAGGCTTTGTACGCGCCGACGGAGTGAACTCATTCTCAGGTGCGGCTCGCCAAATTAGAAGAGCAACGAAGCTTATTAACCTTCGTGGTATTGTCTCGGTTATTGCGTCTCCAAAAGGTGCTAATTTATTTATTTTGCGGATTTTTATTGCGATTTGTATGGTTTTTGCGGCACTTTTTGTTTTGTAAAGAAAGTTACTGCTGTTTGGAATGACGATTCGAGTTTCAATTGGGCTAGGCTAGAGCTTGCATTAAATTAGGGTATATCCAAGTTAGGTTTAAAGTCCTTACTGCTCTTATTAACCTCGATATTTTCAAAATTTGCATATTATGTTTGCACAGTTGATGAACCTGATGGGATCTTACGATGTAAATCCCATCTGCCCGAGTTCAAGAGTGTGGTTTGCGTATTTCCATGCGGGATCATCGACGCTTTCAAAAGTTGTGTTTGCTTTTGGCTAATGCGCTTAATTTGACCGAAAACAGCGGGATTTTGGGGCTTCTAGGCCTAATCTGTGGGAAATTCGTTGTAAGTAAACTTTTGTAATAAGACTAGTCTAAGGCTCCCGGCTAGGGTTTTGAGCTAGGGCTCTGGGCTAGGGCTCTGGGTTAGGGCTCTGGGCTAGGGCTCTGGTCTAGGGCTAAAAAAATTCCATAAAACATGGAAAAACTAGCCGATTCCACGACTCTTCATGGCCCGCTGTCATAAAGCGTTTAATCACCAGTTGCAAAGTGCTATGCAGGCCTGTTGCCGCCAAACGCCGTCGCTATAATAATATTATCGCGACAAATATTTGCATATTTAACGACTAAATCATAAGGC